ATATAGCTAGCTCCACGGTGTAGGCTTACAGGCTCCTATTGTATACCTACTGATGGTATATAGGCTATGATACAGGTATAAAGAGTGTTTTTTTCCCCCTCCCTGGCTGCTTAAAGATGCACTGTGCATTATTTAAGTAGTATATAATTAAATACGTGGCTTTGCAAGAGACTTTCAGAGAGATTTTCCACACACTGAGTGCTGTACTGGCACCCAGGGGGCTGATTGCTGTCTGGCACCCAGGGGGCTGATTGCTGCCTAGCTGTGCAGCACCATGCAAGAGAGAGAGAGATAGAGAGAGAGAGAGAGAGAGAGAGAGAGGAGCAGTGGTTAACATTCTTCATTTGCCCGTCACTTGTATTTATTGGAACTCATCTGTAACAGGGCTTGGCAATGATTTATATATTGATTTGAAAAATAAATACAAGTGATAGAAACCTGGTGTAATGATGGACTGTCACGACATGCAGGAGTAAGGATATGAAACATTGGGAGGAAATTAGATATTATGCCCCCAAGACAACAGCAGTCGCCAGCCCATTCATTATTAGCTTGATATTTATTATTAAGAATTTCTCTTGATGAGTGACTGCATAATATTTGGGCCGGCTCAAGCTGTTAAGTCCCTGACAGGAATGAAGTGTGTGGACCTTGTGGTTGCTGGCTGCTGACAGCAAATCTGGAGCGGAAGACTTATTACATGCATTAATGTAACACATACACACACACACCGATATGCTACACACACACTCACACGTATTTTCATGCAAGGATGGACGGATGTAGTTAACATAACTTGGACACATCATGATCTGAATATATACACAGGGTTGTCATGGCCACCGGGGATCACCCACTTTACATTCCAGCATACACACACAAATATTTGTTGCAGTGCAGACACATCTATCTGTTCTAAGCCCACCAGGTATATAACAATGAATACGATAAAGTAAAGCACACTTACATCATGAACGGAAACGGGTGCTCATACATGCTTATCATTCCAGACTCACTAGAGTACATTTACTGGTACAGTGGGGAAGATAAAGGGACAGCTGTTTAAAGGAATTCCTACTTTCCTTGCCAAGGCTTTCACCACTAGTTTAAAAATGACTTTATAATCACAGACAGCACAGTCAAATAAATCCTAACGACATACAGTAGGGCTGCCAGGGACATTCTTTTTTTATTGTCGAGGAACAGACGAAGGAAAATTAGGATCATCCCATTTCTCCAGCTCACTTTACCAGGCACCTTGCTAATTATGACTGCAATCACTGATACATGTTGCATCCTTTACAGGAATTACAGCGAGGAGGACGGTAAACATCTGCCCCGGGGCTGCGGAAATATGTCCCTGCTCAACAGACGGCCTTCATATTAGGAGTGTGTTTATTTTGAGGCAGGAGGGTGGTAATGAGTTTGGGTGGAAGGTGCTGCTGCGGGGAAGTGTACTGGCTCAATGTTGGAGGAAGGCCCAACGTCAAGAAAGGGTTGTGTTCGGTTTTGAACTTGTCCAATAAGAAAATGTATGCAATTTTTTGTTTTCTGTTGCAAAACGTTTTGCTACAGTGTGTCCAAATGAACATGACTCAGGTTTCACCGCATTTCAACATGATAGGACACTTCTGTTGAAAGAATCTGTGTTGACTTTCCTTACCCTACAACAGGGGTCCCTAATTACATACAGCCGTGGGCCGATTTTTCTTTGTGTGGATGGTCGGGGTGCCGGAACACTGCAAATTGACTGCAAGAATCCCAAACAGATATAGTATTTGACAAAAACAAAATCATTTCAAACCTTGATTACACTGGGATACCATCACATATGCCTCTCTGTTTCTGCGTGGGAATACTTGGAAACAGATTTCTGAAATTAAAATCACTGTGAGCTGATTTCCTGGTGATTTTACCAGGAATGTGTCCAACAACAAAAATGTAATAAATAATAACAAATAAATAAATGTGTTGCTCAGAGAACTTGGGGGGCCAAATAAAATCCCCAGCGGGCTGCCTGTTGGGGAACACTGCCCTACAAAGTACAAATGACTAGCTACCTAAATGAAGTAATACCTCTTCATTTACTATCCTTCTGTTGACTTATTGTCCATCCATACTCCCTTTATCATCCTATATCAATAACCATCGTTTCCATCCAGTCTCCACAGATCTACCCAAGCCATCCACTGACTACACCCCAGATGTGTGAGGCACAAAGGGAGAGCTCATGACCTACTTTAGGTCTACTAGCTGATGGAAGCCCAGCATTACAGGACACCCTCACTCCACACAGCCTTCATGTGAATCCAGCGACTACTCTCCCTCCCTCCCTCACCCACCCAGACCCAAGGATGAAAACGGCTGCTCCCGCTGAACTAAGAGCTGTAATGAATAGGCTGCCAGACCACCCCACTGTGGCAATTTGAAGAGGTCAACATTATATACCACCCTATTTGCTGTTGCGATGAGCTGTAGACAACTCCCATTATTTATTGGGAGGCCAGCGGAACAGCGCAGAGGTCACTGGACCCAGGTAAACGGGTGACATAAATAAGAGAGAGAGAGCGAGAGAGACAGAGAGTGTGAGAGAGAGAGAGAGAGAGAGAGAGAGACGGCGAGTGTGTGATAGAGAGAGAGAGGCGGCGAGTGTGTGTGTGTGTGTGAGAGAGAGAGAGAGAGAGAGAGAGAGAGAGAGAGAGAGGCAGAAACAAAGACAAAGATTCCTGTACTCCTACTATGTGTCCATTTATTGAGCGGTTACTCAGAGGAACGTGTTGGTTCAAAAACGTCTGGGAGGTTGTTTCCTACCAGTGGTGGTCCTATATTTGGATTAAAGGTGTTATTGGTGATTTTACCATTTTCTCTACATATGATTTTATGATAATTAGGATCTGTTTACCCGAAGTGGACAGGGACACCAAAGTCAAAATATGCAACGTTTGATGGATGATTAAAATGTTGCATTTCAAACTGGGGGTTAGCCTTTATTTTTTATTATTTTTTGTTAGAGGGTTCTCGTGGTGCTAGAAGACAAATGGTGTAGTTTTCCGTGGGTCAACAGGGTTTTCTATCCCATAATGTCCTTTCAGAGGGATGGAAGAAGCACTGCTCCCTCCCTCTGCAGCATGGAATGAACCATGGGCAACTGCATCTCAGCGGTTGATTATAGAGGTCTAGTGCCTAACATCATAATACCAACCTCTCAACATACAGTGAATGATAGCCTATCCGTGGTTGTTACATCGTATGAGGTCACCGCAGCATCACGTCAAAAAATGTATCCGCAAAAAATATTTTAAATAATAATTAAATAATATTTCTTCTGGTGTAGTTCAAAAACACCAAAATGTTCGAAAGAATCCACAAAATATCTCTCCAATCGATTTTTGTCTTTTGCAGGAAATAAAGGGTGAAAGACGTTTGTGTAACACTTGCCACTCCATAGATGAACCCAAATGAACAGTCCTGCGAGGGTTCCACTGTAGCCTGGAGACACTGGAACCTTGAGGAGGAGCTATCACTTTGTCAGCGCTGAGAAGCTGAAAGCTTTTATGAAATACCAAATTACTAATTGCCCTGTGTTGTTTTCTTGCCTGGATGTCAGCTTGTAACATCTCCACTTCCATTAGATCTCTAACAGAGCAGTATCTTGCCCCATACAGAGCTGGCTAATATTGTAATTTCACACCAAGCTACGGAGGACCAGTGTAATTTTCCCTCAAATCATTTAAATTAGCTGATGGACTATTTGTATTGGCAAACTCTTACAGATTGCACCTATAATACCATAGTCAGGTTTACCCTTTAGACGTAGACTAGGGTCCACCCTTTAGACGTAGACTAGGGTCCACCCTTTAGACGTAGACTAGGGTCCACCCTTTAGACGTAGACTAGGGTCCACCCTTTAGACGTAGACTAGGGTCCACCCTTTAGACGTAGACTAGGGCCACCCTTTAGACGTAGACTAGGGTCCACCCTTTAGACGTAGACTAGGGTCCACCCTTTAGACGTAGACTAGGGTCCACCCTTTAGACGTAGACTAGGGTCCACCCTTTAGACGTAGACTAGGGTCCACCCTTTAGACGTAGACTAGGGTCCACCCTTTAGACGTAGACTAGGGCCACCCTTTAGACGTAGACTAGGGTCCACCCTTTAGACGTAGACTAGGGCCACCCTTTAGACGTAGACTAGGGTCCACCCTTTAGACGTAGACTAGGGCCACCCTTTAGACGTAGACTAGGGTCCACCCTTTAGACGTAGACTAGGGCCACCCTTTAGACGTAGACTAGGGTCCACCCTTTAGACGTAGACTAGGGTCCACCCTTTAGACGTAGACTAGGGTCCACCCTTTAGACGTAGACTAGGGTCCACCGTTTAGGGAGGGCAAGTTGAATGTCTCAATCTTCCTGCTTTTCTGTTCCCTGAGTGGAGCCGTTTGTTCACAGGAGAGGTGGTGGCACATCAAAGGCTCCTTTGTGTAAAACAGACATAACTGCACCAGCTGAACTGAATGGGGATAGATGGGTCTGGACCTCTTGGGAGATGACAACCTGTGCACTGCGTTGTCTTCTGTAGAAACCATATGTATTCTAACGTCATAGGTTATACACAGATTTCACTCTCTTTCCCTTTTGGGGATAGCAGAAACCGAAGAGGTCAGGATGTATGTTTGTCAATTAAAACAATTGGATTTAAAATATCACCGCATGATTTGCTAAATGTAGCAAGGGATTATCAACCCCCAAAATCATAAGTAATCACGATCCACCCCAATCCTCAATAAAAACCCAGGTGTTGGTTGCAGCATCATTATTTCCTAGAGGAGACAATCTAGCTTTCTCCCTAATGTCATCCTGACACACACACACCATGTTCCGCTCATCCAAATTAGGTCTAAAGCCTAGCCCTGTGAACAATGTTTGTTTTCTTTCTAGTGCCATCTTATTCCAGGATGACTAATAAAACAAGCCCCGGGGCCATCTGATGGGTAAACATCTGAGAAGCTCCCTGGCAGCCGTTCAACTCCCTCCTCTGCAGCCAATGGATAAGAGATTGCTGGCAAGCCAGCTACTTACACTGTAATATATGAAAGCACATGAAAAAAAAACCTTTTGGATAAACTTCCCAGTTTGTTTTTAATGTAAAGAGAGCTACTACCCTTTCACCAAAACAAATGGTTCACAAATATGGCAGTTCACACGTTTATACACTTCCGAGCGTGATAAGATGTCACTGTGCTGCTGAGAGGACTTTTGTCCAATTGGATATAAATGACAAACAAACCATAAGAAGACATTTCTCAGACAGTGATTGAGTAAAACCTTCTTTTTTTTGTGTGTCTTCTGGCACATGCGGGTGAAAATATGCCATTTTAAGTAAACATTTTTTGGTAAACATTCAATTTCGGACATGATCAGTTCAATAAAAGTCTATAGCCTATCTTTCAAACGTCTCGTCCCCCTTCGTCCTGCACAGGCTAAAGTAATAGTCACTTACAGTGGAAAACTGTGCCATTCAGGTTAGCTAAGGCGCCAGCTTCCCTTTCAGAGTCTCGTAGATGCACCACATCCACATCCTCCTCCTGGGAATGTTTATGGGTGGGGCTCTATGGCCTTAAAATGCATTAGGAGCCCACCCGTTATTAGGTCCATGTTAGATAGGAACGTTAGAAAAACGTTTGTTTATCTTACTACACGTTCTGTGATAGCAGCCTGACCTTCTTCCCTGTTAGAACCATATTCCTGAGGTCGGCCAAAGATGGCAGCTTCATCTTGTCTTTGTTTTTGCTGTAAACATTCAGGAAAATTCCGAACAGAACTAAAAGGCCACTCCATATGTACCTGAGAGGAAATGGAACGGAGAGGCACGTTAGAATGTTTCCAGTGCCTTGAAAGCAGGCTAAATTTAACTAAAGTCAAATAGAAGAGACTGAAGATAAAATGACTTACTGAAAAGTAAAAGGCTTTGAGAAGAACATAAAGGATAGTACAATCGTCATAGCCTTACGTCCGGTCGTCACTGAAATGAACAGAAGATAGAAGAGTGAGAAAAAGAATACCACACAACCTTGAATCTAAGTTTGTCACATCCAATGGACATCTAGGAAAGATACATTTCTTTAACTTTGGTGATGAGATTACTTAGACATTTGTCTTGCAGTTAATGTCAAAATGAATCTGGAAGTTTCCAGAACTTTTAAATAAGATTACGATCACTCTAATCTGGCTTCATTTCAGTAATCTGATATTACTTTTCTACCACTGCGAAATGTCAAACGTTTATGCGTTTAGAATTTAGAGATAAGTTGGAGGGTTAGTAAGGATATCACAAGTCATATTGTAGGGGCCATTATGTGGAACCATATGCTTACTTAGAACTTCCCTAACTCAAGATTCCATTGGTCCAAAAATTCCCAATATTCTGAATTAAAACGTTTTTTTGATAGTAAAATATGGACTAGTCATAGGAAACAATGGGAACTGTTCAATTGAACACTTTCAGACATAAAAAGAGAGTGAGAGTTATTTTATGCGGTTCCGCAAGCAAAGCGTTTGCCCAGACCCGAACGGTCTTCTCACCTGTGACTGCGACCAGGGCTCCAAAGAGTTTGATCAAGGCCAGCACAAATGAAATGCCAAAGTACCCCGTGAGAGAGAAGAAGAATGCATAACCGTATGTCGTCACAGGATGCTGAAAAAAATAAAATAATGATTCAATAGATTGTCATATCAACATCTTTTACCAATTCATATGTTATCCACAGAGCGCATCAAACAAATGCCAACTACAGAACGGTGCATGTTTCAACTATTATAATGAAACATGACAGAGAGGGTTCTACTAACCTGAGAGCAAAAAGCCACTGCTGGTCCCAATCCACCCACACCCAACAGGCCTGTTAATATGTACCCGAAACCGATGCAATAGGAATACAAAACCTTGAACACAAGCAAAATCCTTCACATAAGTCTCAGGTGATTCAGGACAGTTTATACAATTGGGTTTGCAATATAAATATACCACGTTGGTTTTAAGGCAGGTCCTCAGTACCTCACGGCACAACGCCTCTACCCTATTTGACCTAGATAGTTTCTGTGTATGTATTGATATGTAGGCTACGTGTGACTTAAAACATTTTTTTGATGTAGTTCTGTCCTTGAGCTGTTGTCTTTTCTATTAACCTTCTGTATTATGTCATGTTTCATGTTTTGTGTGGAACCAAGGAAGAGTAGCTCCTGCTTTCGCAACAGCTAATGGGGATCCTAATAAAATACCAGTACCATTTCAGAGTTGGAGCCGTTGTGGAGCTTCATGGCTTTCTCCTGCACGTTCCCAATGGCAGCGTCAGCGCACAGAGCCAGGGAGATGAGGAGGACCCCTAAAACACCAGACACAACCAGGTTAACCACCGTAACCAATAACAGCACAGCAATGGAGGCTTTGGAATTGCTGAAACAGCATCCTTTCTGTGCCTGTATTTTCAGAGTGTGGGGAAACCTATATGTTTGTACATATGTGGTACAAACTCAGACTCTTTAAGTAAAGGAGTTCAAACTCCACATTTAAAAGTACTTCAGTCCCAGCCCAGGTAACAACTACTAGACTTAATTTGCCCCATGCTCATAAATGTCAGTATTCTGATTACTTTGATACACGTTTTACGACACGTAAATTATTTGGATGGTGAAAGGATTGATCCTTGGCTAAACAGTGTCGTAACCATAGGGCCGATTTACCAGTAGATACATAACAGATTAAAATTCCCGTTACCTGTTGCATTGAAGTTGGGTGCCACTTTACTGTCAGCTAGGGTGAACCAGATGAGTCCTAGACTCATACAGAGAGCAGCCAATACATCCGCCAGATTGTACCGTTTCCCTAGAAAACAGAGCGCCGTTAGACTACAGAGTCAAGGGAATTCCTCCATAGCAGCTGACTTAGAATTCAGGGAGACTACTTGATTGACACGTTCCACTTGGATAGAAAGTTGAATACACTCAGTGGATCTCAGTGTCGAGAACTTTTTTTCTGATGATTCCGATTGATCCAACACCTGTCATGACTGGACATCCAATCATCCAAACCTTTGAAACTAAAAAGGTGATCTAAAGGGCATTTCCCTTTGTGACAAGGGCTCTGCCTCAGATCAGCGTGAGTTGAGAGAGGCACGTGTCTCACTGGCTGCAGGTTATTATGTACAGTGAGGGAAAAAAGTATTTGATCCCCTGCTGATTTTGTACGTTTGCCCACTGACAAAGACATGATCAGTCTATAATTTTAATGGTAGGTTTATTTGAACAGTGAGAGACAGAATAACAACAACAAAATCCAGAAAAACACATGTCAAAAATGTTATATAAATTCATTTGCATTTTAATAAGGGAAATAAGTATTTGACCCCCTCTCAATCAAAAAGATTTCTGGCTCCCAGGTGTCTTTTATACAGGTAACGAGCTGAGATTAGGAGCACACTCTTAAAGGGAGTGCTCCTAATCTCAGCTTGTTACCTGTATAAAAGACACCTGTCCACAGAAGCATTCAATCAATCAGATTCCAAACTCTCCACCATGGCCATAACCAAAGAGCTCTCCAAGGATGTCAGGGACAGGATTGTAGACCTACACATGGCTGGAATGGGCTACAAGACCATCGCCAAGCAGCTTGGCGAGAAGGTGACAACAGGTGGTACGATTATTCGCAAATGGAAGAAACACAAAGCATTTACATTTATATTTTAGTCATTTAGCAGACGCTCTTATCCAGAGCGACTTACATTATTTTATTTTTTTCATACCCCCTGTGGGAATCGAACCCACAACCCTGGCGTTGCAAACGCCATGCTCTATCAACTGAGCTACATCCCAAAAGAACTGTCAATCTCCCTCGGCCTGGGGCTCCATGCAAGATCTCACCTTGTGGAGTTGCAATGATCATGAGAACGGTGAGGAATCAGCCCAGAACTACACGGGCGGATCTTGTTAATGATCTCAAGGCAGCTGGAACCATAGTCACCAAGAAAACAATTGGTAACACACTACGCCGTGAAGGACTGAAATCCTGCAGCACCCGCAAGGTCCCCCTGCTCAAGAAAGCACATATACATGCCCGTCTGAAGTTTGCCAATGAACATCTGAATGATTCAGAGGAGAACTGGGTGAAAGTGTTGTGGTCAGATGAGACCAAAATCGAGCTCTTTGGCATCAACTCAACTTGCTGTGTTTGGAGGAGGAGGAATAATGCCTATGACCCCAAGACACCATCCCCACCATCAAACATGGAGGTGGAACCATTATGCTTTGGGGGTTTTTTCTGCTAAGGGGACAGGACAGCTTTGCCGCATCAAAGGGATGATGGATGGGGCCATGTACTGTCAAATCTTGGGTGAGAACCTCCTTCCCTCAGCCAGGGCATTGAAAATGGGTCGTGGATGGGTATTCCAGCATGACAATGACCCAAAACACACGGCCATGGCAACAAAGGAGTGGCTCAAGAAGAAGCACATGAAAGTCCTGGAGTGGCCTAGCCAGTCTCCAGACCTTAATCCCATAGAAAATCTGTGGAGGGAGCAGAAGGTTCGAGTTGCCAAACGTCAGCCTCGAAACCTTAATGACTTGAAGAAGATCTGCAAAGAGGAGTGGGACAAAATCCCTCCTGAGATGTGTGAAAACCTGGTGGCCAACTACAAGAAACGTCTGACCTCTGTGATTGCCAACAAGGGTTTTGCCACCAAGTACTAAGTAATGTTTTGCAGAGGGGTCAAATACTTATTTCCCTCATTAAAATGCAAATCAATTTATAACATTTTTGACATGCGTTTTTCTGGATTTTTTTGTTGTTATTCTGTCTCTCACTGTTCAAATAAACCTACCATTAAAATGATAGACTGATCATTTCTTTGTCAGTGGGCAAACGTACAAAATCAGCAGGGGATCAAATACTTTTTCCCCTCACTGATAGAGCTATTTCTATTGTTGTTTTTTGTTACCATTTTCATTATTTCATTTCATTTAGACCTGCATGTTGGAGCTCGAAGCGTAAGATTTTCACTGTACCCTGCAATCACACCTGCAACCCTGTACATGTGACTATTGAACACTCAATCTGAATCTGAAAGGTTGGCAGGTGCACATGGCCCTTTGAACAAGTTCAGCCACGCAAAAAACGTTCTACAGGACTTTTCAATCAAATCCAAACAGGACAAGAGGGGGGAGAGAGGAGAGGGCTGAGGTTGCTTCGTGTTGGAAAACTGCAACAGAAAAGGAAAGGAAGAGGAGGCTGAAGAACCTTCCTAAACAGGCCGATAGATGCCTTGGGGGGACAATGTGACGCAGCAGGTTGGTCGTGCTTTCATTCCCCCTTTGAAGGGTTCACATCAGATCTCGTTCGCATCCTGTGAGAATGCAGTAGTGCTTCCAACTAGCCCCCCTGGGGGACCTGTGGTCTGCATCGTCAATACAGGCAGAGGGAGAAAGGAACGAAAACAACTAGCTTCTGATAGCTAGGACGTAGAACCATTATGAAGACCATGTCTTGGAGACGAAAGGCAGAATACTGAGCACTAGGCCTCCTCAAACTTGACACTCGCAAACAACCCCCAAAAAAGTATGGACGGAACTCCGAAATAACTGTTGAACAGTGGTCATTGCTTGGAGGTGAGGGTGTAACGAGTGTGAGGTAAGACACATATAGGTTTCTAGACAGTGTGAGGTAAGACATAGTTTCTAGACAGTGTGAGGTAAGACACATATAGGTTTCTAGACAGTGTGAGGTAAGACACATAGGTTTCTAGACAGTGTGAGGTAAGACACATAGGTTTCTAGACAGTGTGAGGTAAGACACACATAGGTTTCTAGACAGTGTGAGGTAAGACATGTTTCTAAACAGTGTGAGGTAAGACACATAAGGTTTCTAGACGTGTGAGGTAAGACATGTTTCTAAACAGTGTGAGGTAAGACACACATAGGTTTCTAGACAGTGTGAGGTAAGACATGTTGCTAGACCAGTGTGAGGGAAAGACACAGGTTTCTAGACCGTGTTGAGGTAGAGACTGTTTTCTAGTACAGTGGGAGGTAAGACACACTAGGTTTTCTAGACAGTGTGAGGTAAGACATGTTCTAGACATGTGTGAGGGAAGTACACTAGGGTTTCTAGACAGTGGTGAGGTAAGGACATGTTTTCTAAACAGTGTGAGTAAGACACAGGTTTCGAGACTGTGAGGTAAGACACATATGTTTCTAGACAGTGTGAGGTAAGACATAAAAACATGTTTCTAAACAGTGTGAGGTAAGACACACATAGGTTTCTAGACAGTGTGAGGTAAGACACATATAGGTTTCTAGACCGTGTGAGGTAAGGACACACATAGGTTTTCTAGACCGTGTGAGGTAAGACACACATAGGTTCTAGACAGTGTGAGGTAAGACACATAGGTTTCTAGACAGTGTGAGGTAAGACATGTTTCTAGACAGTGTGAGGTAAGACATGTTTCTAGACAGTGTGAGGTAAGACACATATAGGTTTCTACATTTACATTACATTTACATTTTAGTCATTTAGCAGACGCTCTTATCCAGAGCGACTTACAGTTAGTGAATACATATTTTTTTTATACTGGCCCCCCGTGGGAATCGAACCCACAACCCTGGCGTTGCAAACGCCATGCTCTATCAACTGAGCTACATCCCTGCCGGCCATTCCCTCCCCTACCCTGGACGACGCTGGGCCAATTGTGCGCCGCCCATGAGTCTCCTGGTCGCGGCCGGCAGCGACAGAGCCTGGATTCGAACCAGGATCTCTAGTAGCACAGTTAGCACTAGCGATGCAGTGCCTTAGACCACTGCGCCACTCAGGAGTCTAGACAGTGTGAGTTGACACATATAGGTTTCTAGACAGTGTGAGTTAAGACACATAGGTTTCTAGACAGTGTGAGGTAAGACACATGTTTATAGACAGTGTGAGGTAAGACACAGGTTTCTAGACAGTGTGAGGTAAGACACAGGTTTCTAGACAGTGTGAGGTAAGACATGTTTCTAGACAGTGTGAGGTAAGACATGTTTCTAGACCGTGTGAGGTAAGACACATATAGGTTTCTAGACCGTGTGAGGTAAGACACACATAGGTTTCTAGACAGTGTGAGGTAAGACACACATAGGTTTCTAGACAGTGTGAGGTAAGACACACATAGGTTTCCAGACAGTGTGAGGTAAGACACACATAGGTTTCTAGACAGTGTGAGGTAAGACACATATAGGTTTCTAGACAGTGTGAAGAAAGACACAGGTTTTTAGACAGTGTGAGGTAAGACACATATAGGTTTCTAGACAGTGTGAGGTAAGACACAGGTTTTTAGACAGTGTGAGGTAAGACACACATAGGTTTCTAGAGACAGTGTGAGGGTAAGAAACCAGGTTTGTAGACAGTGTGAGGTAAGAAACATATAGGTTTCTAGAAGTACATTGTGGAGGTAAGACATAGGTTTCTAGACGTTTGCGGTAAGCACAGGTTTTAGACAGTGTGAGGTAAGACCAGCATAGGTTTCTAACAGTGTGAGGTAAGACAACAGGTTTTTAGACAAGTTTGAGGTAAGACACACATTTTTCTGACAGTGTGAGGTAAGACATGTTTCTAGCGTGTGAGGTAAGACATGTTTCTAGACAGAGTGGATGTCAGACACATATGTTTTCTATACAGTGTGAGGTAAGACATGTTTCTAACAGTGTGAGGTAAAGACACAAATAGGTTTCTAGAACAGTGTGAGGTAAGACACACATAGGTTTCTAGACATTGGTGAGGTAAGACACATATAGGTTTCTTTAGACCGTGTGAGGTAAGACCATAGGTTTCTAGACCGTGTGAGGTAAGACATGTTTCTAGACAGTGTGAGGTAAGACACATAGGTTTCTAGACAGTGTGAGGTAAGACATGTTTCTAGACAGTGTGAGGTAAGACACATAGGTTTCTAGACAGTGTGAGTAAACACATAGGTTTCTAGACAGTGTGAGGTTAAGACACATAGGTTTCTAGACAGTGTGAGGTAAGACACATAGTTTTAGACAGTGTGAGGTAAGACACATAGGTTTCTAGACAGTGTGAGGAAGACACATGGTTTCTAGACAGTGTGAGGTAAGACATGTTTCTAGACAGTGTGAGGTAAGACATGTTTCTAGACAGTGTGAGGTAAGACACATATAGGTTTCTAGACGTGTGAGGTAAGACACTATAGGTTTCTAGACAGGTGAGGTAAGACACATAGGTTTCTAGACAGTGTGAGGTAAGAACATAGGTTTCTAGACAGTGTGAGGTAAGACACAGGTTTTTAGACGTGTGAGGTAAGACACATATAGGTTTCTAGACAGTGTGAGGTAAGACAATAGGTTTCTAGACAGTGTGAGGTAAGACATAGGTTTCTAGACAGTGTGAGGTAAGACACACATAGGTTTCTAGACAGTGTGAGGTAAGACACAGGTTTTTAGACAGTGTGAGGTAAGACACATATAGGTTTCTAGACAGTGTGAGGTAAGACATAGGTTTCTAGACAGTGTGAGGTAAGACACACATGTTTCTAGACAGTGTGAGGTAAGACACATATAGGTTTCTAGACAGTGTGAGGTAAGACATAGGTTTCTAGACAGTGTGAGGTAAGACACAGGTTTTTAGACAGTGTGAGGTAAGACACATATAGGTTTCTAGACAGTGTGAGGTAAGACACAGGTTTTTAGACAGTGTGAGGTAAGACATGTTTCTAGACAGTGTGAGGTAAGACATAGGTTTCTAGACAGTGTGAGGTAAGACATATTTCTAGACCGTGTGAGGTAAGACACACATAGGTTTCTAGACAGTGTGAGGTAAGACATAGGTTTTTAGACAGTGTGAGGTAAGACACATATAGGTTTCTAGACAGTGTGAGGTAAGACATAGGTTTCTAGACAGTGTGAGGTAAGACACACATAGGTTTCTAGACAGTGTGAGGTAAGACACAATAGGTTTCTAGACAGTGTGAGGTAAGACACAGGTTTCTAGACAGTGTGAGGTAAGACACACATAGGTTTCTAGACAGTGTGAGGTAAGACACACATAGGTTTCTAGACAGTGTGAGGTAAGACACACATAGGTTTCTAGACAGTGTGAGGTAAGACACAGGTTTCTAGACAGTGTGAGGTAAGACATGTTTCTAGACCGTGTGAGGTAAGACACACATAGGTTTCTAGACAGTGTGAGGTAAGACACAGGTTTCTAGACAGTGTGAGGTAAGACACATAGGTTTCTAGACAGTGTGAGGTAAGACATGTTTCTAGACAGTGTGAGGTAAGACACATATAGGTTTCTAGACGTGTGAGGTAAGACACATATGGTTTCTAGACAGTGTGAGGTAAGACACACATAGGTTTCTAGACAGTGTGAGGTAAGATACACATAGGTTTCTAGACAGTGTGAGGTAAGACACACAGGTTTCTAGACAGTGTGAGGTAAGACACATAGGTTTCTAGACAGTGTGAGGTAAGACACATATAGGTTTCTAGACAGTGTGAGGTAAGACACACATAGGTTTCTAGACAGTGTGAGGTAAGACACATATAGGTTTCTAGACAGTGTGAGGTAAGACACACAGGTTTCTAGACAGTGTGAGGTAAGACACATATAGGTTTCTAGACAGTGTGAGGTAAGACACATATAGGTTTCTAGACAGTGTGAGGTAAGACACACATAGGTTTCTAGACAGTGTGAGGTAAGACACATATAGGTTTCTAGACAGTGTGAGGTAAGACACAATAGGTTTCTAGACAGTGTGAGGTAGGACATAGGTTTCTAGACAGTGTGAGGTAAGACACAGGTTTTAGACAGTGTGAGGTAAGACACATAGGTTTCTAGACAGTGTGAGGTAAGACACAAGGTTTTAGACAGTGTGAGGTAAGACACATAAGGTTTCTAGACAGTGTGAGGTAAGACACATAGGTTTCTAGACAGTGTGAGGTAGAACATGTTTCTAGACAGTTGTGAGGTAGACACAGGTTTCTAGACGTGTGAGGTAAGACACCATAGGTTTCTAGACAGTGTGAGGTAAGACATAGGTTTCTAGACAGTGTGAGGTAAGACACATATAGGTTTCTAGACAGTGTGAGGTAAGACAGGTTTCTAGACAGTGTGAGGTAAGACACATAGGTTTCTAGACAGTGTGAGGTAAGACATGTTTCTAAACAGTGTGAGGTAAGACACACATAGGTTTCTAGACAGTGTGAGGTAAGACCACATAGGTTTCTAGACAGTGTGAGGTAAGACACATATAGGTTTCTAGACAGTGTGAGGTAAGACACATAGGTTTCTAGACAGTGTGAGGTAAGACACACATAGGTTTCTAGACAGTGTGAGGTAAGACACATAGGTTTCTAGACAGTGTGAGGTAAGACATGTTTCTAGACAGTGTGAGGTAAGACACTATTGTTTCTAGACGTGTGAGGTAAGACACATATAGGTTTCTAGACAGTGTGAGGTAAGACACATAGGTTTCTAGACAGTGTGAGGTAAGACACAATAGGTTTCTAGACAGTGTGAGGTAAGACACAATAGGTTTCTAGACAGTGTGAGGTAAGACACATATAGGTTTCTAGACAGTGTGAGGTAAGACATAGGTTTCTAGACAGTGTGAGGTAAGACACAGGTTTTTAGACAGTGTGAGGTAAGACACACATATAGGTTTCTAGACAGTGTGAGGTAAGACACATAGGTTTCTAGACAGTGTGAGGTAAGACATAGGTTTCTAGACAGTGTGAGGTAAGACACATAGGTTTCTAGACAGTGTGAGGTAAGACACACAGGTTTTAGACAGTGTGAGGTAAGACACATAGGTTTCTAGACAGTGTGAGTAAGACATGGTTTTTAGACAGTGTGAGGTAAGACACAATAGGTTTTAGACAGTGTGAGGTAAGACACTAGGTTTCTAGACAGTGTGAGGTAAGACACATAGGTTTCTAGACAGTGTGAGGTAAGACACATAGGTTTCTAGACAGTGTAGGTAAGACACCACATAGGTTTTAGACGTGTGAGTAGACACCATAGGTTTCTTAGACAGTGTGAGGTAAGACACTAGGTTTCTAGACAGTGTAGTAAGACATTTCTAGACAGTGTGAGGTTAGACACACATAGGTTTTTAGACAGTGTGAGGTAAGACACATAGGTTTCTATAGAGTGCATCTATTATGATTTTTCTCTAGTGTTAAGTTCATTATCACAGTCATGCAAAATGACAAACATTATTCACGTCAAGATCAGGGCCCGTATTCAGTAGGAGTGCTGATCTAGGATCAGGTCCCCCCTGTCCATATAATCTTATATCAGCTCTCCTACTCTGAGACTCTTTGTGAATACGTGCTCTCATACAAACAGAGATCCACTTACCTTGAATGAATATCCCTCCTATCATGACAGGAATGAGTTTGCAGCACTTGAAGATGACCTGTGTAGGATAATTCAAGTAACCCAGTGAGGTGTTTGATAGACCCATGGTCCCCACCGTTAGAAATGCTATGATCATGTACGTCTTCCCTGGTATTCTGCAATGAGAAAAGGAGCAATTAGCCTTGTGGGATGACAACAAAAACAAATACAAAAGGTTACTAGCAATACAAAATGAAGTGTTGTTGATATAGTGAGGTCTAGTGAGAGATCACAGGTCATATTCTTTGGCGTTATAACGCACATAGCTTATTAAGATAATATGTATAGTTAACGGGATAGAGCCTGATCATCATTCTATGATTAAGTAAATCTGTTTTTATAGTGCTCAAACGCCATTAACCATGAAATAGGCTAGTCCATCTATGGACTTTCTTCTCTGGAAAGCACTACTTTTGGATTCCCGTCTTTATTGATGAACACCATCCTACTTTTGTTTGCTGAAGCGCAGAGGCCTAATGGAACTCAATTCCCTTTCATTTCCTCGTTTACCTTCTCCGTTTGTCCTGTGTGAGCTGCAATTCCACCAGTCCAAACAGGGAGTAGAACCCAAACTGTACCAGGGTGAGGTACCATCCAAAGGGCTTGAAACCCTCCATGGAAAATATTAGCTCCTGAAAACAGACAAACAAATTGTGCAAAGTTTTTTTTTCAGGCCTACGGTGAGGTAAATCACAACTTTTCCTGTGGCTTTTCACAGAATCTTCAGTGAGGCTTGCTGATAAAGTTTCCCTACTTTGCATGTGGCAATAACCAATTGTACAGGTGAATCGATCGATTAATCAAATGTATTTTATTAAGCCCTTTTACATCAGCAGTTGTCACTAAGCCTCCACGAGGAACAAGCACAGCAGAAGAGAAAGCACAGTTTCCAGGAAAACTTCCTAGAAGGAAGGAACCTAGAAAGAAACCCATCCTCTTAAGACTGTACCAGGTTGAGATTTAGAGTACATGTGGCCATAAAGTGAAGAATGTGGAAAAGTTGACATGTGTTTGCAATAAACTCATATACTACTAAGAATACATTCATAATACACCTTTCTTCAAAAAAAGTGTGGACATTGGAACAGAGCCTCTGGCTCATAGCTTAGGGAACATCCGCCACTAACGAATCAGTCAGAGGCAGCCTGGGGTGTAATCACTCTAGCACACTGTAGCAAAACAGTTGCAAAACAATCTCAACGGAAAACGTTTTGCAACGAAAAAACTAGAGTTTCAGGTAGGTCCCTCCCCGTTTGCTTCTGCTTGGTTCCTAGTGAATACACCTTCAGCTTACCTGTAGGTAACCATAGAGGAGGTAAAAGAGGAAGACGCCCGCAGTGCAGATGCCGAACTGGGTGGCTGTGTTGAAGCTGCTCAGGTTGATGCCTAGCACTCTCAGCTCCTCCACAGACTTGATGTGCGGAGACATCGTGACCTCACTGGACGACGGAATGGAGATAGACAGATGCTTCCGGTCGTTGTTGTAGTTCATCAGGCCTAATTTGTCACTCATGGTGTCTGGGGGCTGGGGAACAAAGACAGGAACAAGGTAGTTTCATTACTTATGTTGCAAAATACGCGACTGTCAGACTACCGTAAAACTTCAACTAAACGCAGTCTCAAATAGCCGCCTATCCCTTTTAATAGCTGGGCAACAGCACACATTTCAGCAAATAAACGGCAGGCTATTAATGTACGTTTTATGGTATAAACAGAGGGTGGGAAGATGAGGAAGAAAAGTTGTCTGTGTATTTGCACGCTCAGATAGTAGCCAACACTGCATTAAGTATCACTGACACACATTGGCCAATTCAGAACTGGCATAGCTAGCTAGCTAGAGAACTTACCTGTTACAATCAAGGACAGCAACAGTGCAATTATCATTCATCTGATTTCCGTGGGCATCTCTGGATTTGACTCCCCTAGATGTGCAGCGCTACTAAGCCAGCTAGCTAGCTATATGATTGAGTACAACAATGATTAATTGTTAGCTAATATGCTAGTAATCTAGCTAGCTAGCTACACTACATCACCAAAAGTATGTGGACACCCCTTCAAATTAGTGGATTAGCTAGCTACATCACCAAAACGTATGTGGACACCCCTTCAAATTAGTGGATTAGGCGATTTCAGCCACACCCGTTGTTGACAGGTGTATAAAATGAAGCACACAGCCACGCAATCTCCATAGACAAACATTGGCAGTAGAATGGCCTTACTGAAGAGCTCAGTGACTTTCAACGTGGCACCGTCATAGGATGCCACCTTTCCAACAAGTCAGTTGGTGAAATGTCTGCCTTGTTAGAGCTGCCCCCGTCAACTGTAAGTGCTGTTATTGTAAAGTGGAAACTTCTAGGAGCAACAACGGCTCAGTCGCGAAGTGGTAGGCCACACAAGCTCACATCTGTCCTCGGTTGCAACACTCACTACCGAGTTCCAAACTGCCTCGGGAAGCAACGTCAGCACAATAACTGTTTGTCGGGAGCTTCATGAAATGGGTTTCCATGGCCGAGCAGCCGCACACAAGCCTAAGATCACCATGCGCAATGCCAAGCGTTGGCTGGAGTGGTGTAATGCTCGCCGCCATTGGACTCTGGAGCAGTGGAAACACGTTCTCTGGAGTGATGAATTACGCTTCACCATCTGGCAGTCCGACGGACGAATCTGGGTTTGGCAGATGCCAGGAGAACACAACCTGCCCCAATGCATAGTGCCAACTTTAAAGTTTGGTGGAGGAGGAATAATGGTTGGGGCTGTTTTTGATGGTTTGGGCTAAGCCCCTTAGTTCCAGTGAAGGGAAATCTTAACACTACAGCATACAATGACTTTCTAGACGATTATGTGCTTCCAACTTTGTGGCAACATTTTGGGGAAGGCCCTTCCTGTTTCAGCATGACAATGCCCCTGTGCACAAAGTGAGGTCCATACAGAAATGGTTTGTTGAGATTGATTTGGTAGAAGTTGACTAGCCTGCACAGAGCCCTGACCTCAACCCCATCCAACACCTTTGGGATGAATTGGAACACCGACTGCGAGCCAGGCCTAATCGCCAAACCTCACCAATGCTCTTGTGACTGAATGGAAGCAAGCCTGCAGCAATGTTGCAACATCAAGTGGAAAACCTTCCCAGAAGAGCAGAGGCTGTTATAGCAGCAAAGGGTGGACCAACTCCATATTAATGCCCATGATTTTGGAATGAGATGTTCGACGAGCAGGTGTCCACATACTTTGGTCATGTAGTGTACTTAGTTAGCTAGCTAACCACTGCAGTGAGCTGTGTGGCAAATCCTAAAACGACCACTGAACATTTTCAAAACACCAACATGACATACATTCCGACCAGCCTTATTAGCAACAGCGCTGTTATTTCGCAATTCAAAATAAAATGTCCTAACTTCTTTGCATGCTAGGAAGCAGCTTTTCTGAAAAATATATATACCTGGCTAGCTGCTACAAGCTAGCATGCTAGCTAGCTGAACAACACTTCCGGGTTTGAAATATGTATGGTGCCGTTGTTTTTCAATCGAGTCGGAACATTAGCATGTTTCCAAACGTGGCAGGTCCATTTCATAAAGCGAATGTGCGGTTATATTATTAAAATTTTAATCATTCTGAGGCGAAAAGACCAGTAGCACATCTGCTAACTTGCGTACTGCTGTCCTGGCAACAGCCAATAACTTAAGCGCTGACTCGCGTCGAACTATGACCTCGTTTCCCATTGGTGGAGGGTAACTATTTCTAAAGTCGTTGCTGTAAATAAGAAGGCGTTCTCAGTCAAATTACCTGGTTGAATACTGGTTAAATGAAAAACTACACCAGAGCAGGTGAAAAGGGAAATGCAGAGGCATAGGGAAACTACATTCGTAGTCTAATCAGTCGGTGCAAAATAGAAAATATGTTTTTATTTTTGTTCACATCATGCATTTGCATCTGACTATTGGTAAGCTTGGTCTTATGTGTAGTTATAGATATCCACAACCTACCTTGTCCAGTGCTGGAGGGTCCATAACTTCTTATTTCATCAAACACATAGGATTACATTGTGTACACACACTGGTCATCTTTCATGTCTGGAAACAATTGCTGCAACTAAATCAGCAAACAGCAGAACCTGTCCTTCCAGACTGTCTACCTTAGAAGGGGGCTGGGAAGTAAGATGCCTATTTATATTTTACATTCCTTTCGTGTTGTGTGTTTACTTCTCATTGTTTTTTTGCAATTCAACAAATGGTGAATTATGAGCTCACTGGACATAATTGACAAGAAGGCCAGATAGAACATGAATTTAATTATTTTATTCTTGCCTACTACATATTCAATTACCGAAGCAGTACCAGAAAGGCGAAACTTTGAAATATCCCTTGTCTGACCGAGAAGGACCGATCCTGTCCTGTGTTTGATGTTGGCACGCCTCAAGGCCTTTACAGCTCACAGTATGATTCCCTCTTTCCCTCACCTCCCCCCAGCCCTTACTGTATCCCCCCCTCCTCCCTCCCTCCCTCCTCCAGCCCTTACTGTATCCCCCCCCCCCCTCCTCTCTATCCCTCTCTCTCCCTCCCTCCAGCCCTTACTGTATCCCCCCCCCTTCCTCTCTATCCCTCTCTCTCCCTCCCTCCAGCCCTTACTGTATCCCCCCCTCCTCTCTATCCCTCTCTCTCCCTCCCTCCAGCCCTTACTGTATCCCCCCCCCCTCCTCTCTATCCCTCTCTCTCCCTCCCTCCAGTCCTTACTGTATCTCTCCCCTCCTCCCCCCATCCCTCCTACCTTTCTGTCCAAGCCGACCTGGGCCTCTCTCTCCATCCACACAGGAGGTTAATTCACTCTAGGATGGCATTATTTCCTCCCAGCTCTTTGACAATATAAAAATTCAGAGTGGACAGCTCAATCTCTCTTCCATCTCAGATTTGATTGTAATGGTATTGCCTTTTGTCCCTAGGGGGCCCCGAGCCGCCTCAGCCGGGGCTTTATGACACTAAATAGCCGGGCTACAATTTTTCCATCTATTCAAAAAAGTCTGTTAATAACTCATTTGGAATGAGACTTGGGCACTGCCTGGCTGGCCACTCCGGCCAGGTCCCATACCCCCACCACTCACAGGTCACCTCCTAGGCCTAGAAAGTGCCTAAGTGCTGAATGCAAGGGGTTAATTAATGTCTCTGAATTTACGAGTCCCCTTCCTGTTACACTGCACTCCAATTGACACAAATGTCATATTTACAGCCTGGCTGTAAAAAAGTATTCAGTAATGCACAGTATAGTCTGCATGGGGCTGGCCACTTTCTTTTTCCCATCAAACTTTACAAGTGTACCCATTCATCAAAAACGATGGATTTATATAAAACCCATTTCCTCCCCATAAGATCCTGTTAAATAATAAAATTATTATTTATTGATTATTCAAAAAGATACATAATGGTGTAATGGCTTTGCGCCAGACCACCAGACGGACCTGCCATAAATAAAGGGGCGAAAGAGAGATGAAAGGGAAATGACTTCTGAACCAGTGAAATCTGGATTCAATATGGCCCCTTGCAGTGTGCATCACTGAGGACATCAACTATTTTGGAGGTTCGCATGTGTCCATGACCTATACGTTCTTCATAGAAAAGACAAAGTA